GACGGGGGTGTCTCTCAAGTCCATGATCCAAACCATCTAGGAGGTTGGGGGTGGATATTTGGTGGAGCTGCAACGATTGGAGAGAGTCAGGGTGGGAGAAGAGGGAGACATTCCTCTTGTAGTTCAACTAGTCATACAGCAGTTCAGGGAGGTGTTCCAGCCACCTCAAGGGTTACCACCGATCAGAGAACAGGAGCATGCAATTCTTCTAAGGGAAGGGGTGTCACCGATTAGTGTACGACCCTACCGCTATCCCCAGATTCAGAAAGATCAAATTGAAAGGTTGATTAGTGAAATGTTGGAGGCAAGAATCATCAGACCTAGTGTGAGTCCTTTCTCTAGTCTCGTATTACTGGTTAAAAAGAAAGATGGAAGCTGGAGATTTTGTGTGGACTATAGGGCTTTGAATAAGGAGACTATTCCAGATAAATTTCTCATTCCTGTGATTGATGAACTTTTGGATGAACTGTATGGAGCAGTGATATTCTCCAAACTGGATTTGAAGTCAAGATACCATCAGATCCGGATGAGGGAGGAAGACATCTCTAAGACGGCGTTCAGAACACATGAGGGGCATTATGAGTTTCTGGTTATGCCGTTTGGACTTACCAACGCCCCTACGACATTCCAGTCATTGATGAATAGGGTGTTCAGATCGTATCTCAGGAAGTTTGTGCTTGTGTTTTTTGATGACAACTTGGTGTACAGTAAAACTGAGGAGGAGCATCTGAAGCATTTGAAGTTGGTATTGGAAGTTCTACAGGAGCATCAGCTGAGAGCCAATCTGAAGAAGTGTTGTTTTGGCCAGTCTAGAGTGGAATACTTGGGCCATGTAGTATCCAGGGAAGGGGTAGCAGCAGATCAGTCAAAGGTGGAGGCGATGTTGAGATGGCCATTACCTAAGAATCTGAAGGAATTGAAAGGATTCTTAGGGCTGACATGATATTATAGGAGATTTGTTAAATGGTACAGTACTATAGCTTGGCCACTAACAGAGCAGCTAAAGAAAGATGGATTCCTATGGGAAGAGGCAGCCACAGCAGCATTTGAGACACTAAAGAAGGCTATGACCACGATACCAGTCCTAGCTCTACCGGACTTCACTCAGACCTTCATAGTGAAGACTGATGCTTCAGGATACGGATTGGGGGCAGTGCTCATGCAGAATCGGCGACCCATTCCCTACTTCAGGCAGGTATTAGCAGCCAGGGCCAGGCTGAAGTCAGTCTATGAGAGGGAATTAATGGTTATTGTCTTAGCCATCCATAAGTGGCGACCCTACCTATTAGGTAGGCATTTCATTGTCAGAACAGATCAGAGAAGTCTGAAGTATTTGTTGGAGCAACGGATGGTGACTGAAGAGCATCAGCGATGGCTTTCAAAATTGCTGGGGTATGACTTTGAAATTCAGTACAAACCAAGCGGGGAAAACAAGGCGGCTGATGCCTTGTCCAGATGTTTGGGTGACCTACAGACATTGGTTGTGTATGTTCCTTTGATGTTAGATTGGGAGGCAATTAAAGTAGAGAGCTCGAAGGATGAGGAGTTGAGAAGATCATGGCTGATATATTAAGGGAAGGTGATAGCCACCCAGGGTACTCAGTAGAGGGGGACAGATTGCTGTATCAAGGGAGGTTCATGATGTCCAGGACTTCTATCCACATCCCAAACATACTCCAGGAATTTCATGGGAGCGCGGTTGGGGGTCATTCTGGGGTGCAGAAGACCAACAGGAGGATTGCTGCTGAGCTTTACTGGAAGGGAATACATAGAGATGTAGAGGAGATGGTGGCCAGATGTGAGATTTATCAGAGGAACAAATACATGGCTATGTCACCAGGGGGGGCTACTACAGCCATTGGCGTTACCAGGACGAGTATGGGAGGAGATATCCATGGACTTCATAGATGGGCTGCCCCGTTCAGAAGGCTTCACAGTGATCCTGGTGGTGGTGGATAGACTGAGCAAGTATGCTCATTTTATTCCCCTCCGACATCCTTACACCGCAATAACAGTGGCTTCAGCTTTCATTAGAGAGGTGGTCAGGTTGCATGGGGTACCAGAGGCAATAGTGTCAAATAGAGACAAGGTGTTCCTCAGTCACTTTTGGAGGGAGTTGTTCAGGTTACAAGGAACAGTTTTGAAAAGAAGCACCGCTTATCACCCACAAACAGATGACCAAACGGAGGTGGTTAACAGGAGCTTGGAAACCTACTTGAGATGTTTTGTGTCGGAGACACCTAAGCTTTGGGCCAAATGGCTATCATGGGCAAAATACTGGTACAACACCTCTTTTCACTCAGCTTCGCAGATGACGCCATTTAAAGTACTGTATGAAATGGACCCCCCTCACCTATTGCACTTTGGGAATAGTAGTACTCCAGTTTCTTCAGCGGAGGAGTACTTGGGGGAAAGAGATCGGGTACTAGAAGATTTAAAGAAACATCCACTTAGAGCACAACAAATCATGAAGAAACAGGCAGACTCACACAGGAGGGACATGCAATTTGAAGTGGGGGAAAAGGTTTTTCTAAAATTACGACCTTACAGGCAGAAGACAATGGCGAGAAGGAGAAATGAGAAATTAGCTCCAAGGTACTTCGGGCCCTATGAAGTGTTGGACAAAATTGGGGCAGTGGCGTATCGACTGAAGCTTCCCCCATCAGCTATCATACACCCAATTTTCCACGTGTCACAGTTGAGGAGAGCTATTGGGGAACATACAGTTAGTACGGAGTTACCAGAGACACTGACGAAGGATTTGCAGGTGAAATTGGAACCACTGGAGCTCCGAGGTGTCAGGTCAGATGAAAAGGGAGAAAAAGAAGTGCTGATTGGATGGAAAGGCCTCCCCGAATTTGATGCTACTTGGGAGTCGTTTGAAAGAATGAAAGAGCAATTCCCCTCTTTTCACCTTGAGGATAAGGTGAGTTTTTGGGAGGGGAGTAATGATACGCATGTGCCGGCCCAGGAGGGGCCGGCTGGACCGGTCCAGCCCGAATCGGTCCAGGTCTACTCACGGCGGACGAAACAGGGAAGGGGCCGGAAGTAAGGTGGGCCCCATGGGGGGTTTAATGCAATCTTTTGGGGGGAAATTTTGAATGTAAGGGCTGTTTAGGTATTTTGGAGAAATCCATTATTGTTAATTAGGAGGTTTTGGGGGGAATTAGGATCATTGAGAATTTGAATGTTATTTGGAGATCTAGGGTTTCTTGCTTGGGCTCTCGGCGTTGCCGGAGATTAGGAGAGTTATTGTTCCTCTCGAATTGAAGAACATTGTATCTTCCCTTATTTTTATTCATCTACTAGTGGATTACAAGTCTATTGCTTGGTTTTCTCTCAGATTTTCCTACAGATTTCTCTATTTTCTACTGATTTCCTGCTGTTTGGGCTGTTTTACTGCTGAAAACAGCAGATCTCTTGGTGTTTTCCACACCCGAATCGATAGGAATACTTGGATCTAAGTATTTCCTATCATCATGTCTTCAAATAAAAAATAATAATGAACTTCACAAATACCAAAAAAACAGTAGACACGTGCAAGCCAGCAAACCACTTTATGCATTCTCGACTGATCAAAAGAATCAGCAATGTCATCGTAAAACCTGTAATGACAAATGCAGACACTGAGAATATTGCACCATTGGGTAGTCGACTACTAAATATATTTGTAAAAGGAAAAATAGTAAAGAAATATATACATGATATAAAAGATCAAGACTCATTTTTTGAAGAAAACTCTGTTGCTCTCTAATAGAAGGTTCATAAACATAATACGCTTAGATATAATTTTATTCACAATTTAAATCTACTGATACCTCAATTATAATTTAAACATATTACGCTCACCCAGGCTTGAATCCCCTAAACATCCAAAAAAAAAAAGAATTGCATCTAAACATAACAAAAGCATAAACCTGATTGTTCCCATCATGAATCCAATAATGCAAAAACATTTGAACACAGACAAAAAACCTGAATCACGTAATGTATCTAGCATGTTCAATATTAATCATTCAAGTAGTAAAACACTTGCCTTTTAGAACTGAAATAAGGGTAATTCTCATAGAAGAATTTTTCTAGTTGAGGAATGGCGGAGCTGTTGGCAGAGCAGAATCCAGGGTGTGATTTTTTGCCACTTTGAGTGCTGCCAATGGTTTTAACTTACATAACCAAATCAATGAAGTCATGAATAAAACTATTTGCTAAGTTATTTAGATTAAGCATAGAATGTGAAGAACCTCGAAGAAGTCTTCAAGAGGTTTAGCGACTGTTGTATACTTGTTTAGTATAGATTTGTTATCTATGTAAACAAGGACATGGCGGGTGCACTTCTTATATGTTCCAATAATATCAAATATATAATGTTAAAAGCATAAAATTCTTTGAAACTCGAATGGATCAACACAATCATTCAACCAATTTTGAATGAACCAAAACATAGAAACTAAATTAATAAATAAAAAGAAGTGAATAAAAAAATCAGTTCCAAAACATAGATACTAAATTAATAAATGAAAAGAAGAATAGACTGCAAAACCACTTCGTGCTCATTCAAATGCAAAATTAGGGAATTTAAAGCCACTTTGGAAATGCTGCTCATTCAAATACAAAATTAGTGAATGCAAAACCATGTCATGTTCTTCAAAACATAGAAATCTCTTACAGATGCATAATTTCGTTTATGAAAGCAGCAGAACCTTACACGACCTCTGAAGAGGAGTTGCAACTGATTAGTGATAAGTCCCAATAGACCACCGCCAGAGAAGAGTTGCTGGAGAAAGCCAAAGATTGCCTAGGACTGTCATCGGAGAAAACAAATCAATCAACTGTGAAAGAGTTTTGAAAAATTCCATAATGATTTGATGAGCTTACATGAGATGCGAAGGAGCCTTCGAAGTAATAGGTGGTGTGATGGGTTCGGCGAGATGAAGATGGATGAGTTATTACGTTCGGCGAGAGAAAGAGATGAGCAGAGAAACCATTCGGTGAGAGGTAGAATTGCAAAACAGCTAATTTCACATGTCATTAAAATTTGATAATTTTAATGGACTTTCAGGATTTTATGAGGGTGGAAACTCAAGTCACACTTATAATAGTAGTATAGATAATATGTGTTAATTTATCTTAAGCTTTGTTTGGGACTATTTTTTTACTGTTTCTTAAAACAATTTTGTAATAAAACAATTAATATTTTTGTACTAAAAAGCTGCTTAAAGCAGCAGTAAGAAAACCATCCCAAATAAAATCTTAATTAACTAAAAAATCCCCAAAAAAGAAATTTCTTGACTAATACAAACCTTAAATAAGCATAATTATAAAAGAGTGATAATGAAGAGTTTGGTTTTATTTGGGACAACTTTTTACTACTTAAAGCAGCTTTTTAGTACAAAAATTTTAATCTCTCTACTAAAAAGCTGCTTTATAATTTTTCTAAAAAAGTCATCCCAAATGAAGCCACACATATATAATGAATTTTAATGTAATGGATGAAAACTTGGATCTTCTTCAGCCTAAATCCTCTTTAATGAATTCAATCACAACTCCTAAAAGGCCTTTCAAGTGAAGAGATTCAAGAAAGAGAAAAGATGCATAAAAAAAAAAAGTAAGACACATGCAGTAACTCGTTAAGCCTTAAATGTGGGTAATGCATCTATTACATACAAAGAAGGGAGTTAAACAGACATCAAATTTTAAGATGAATGACACATCAAGGAATACATACGTGCTTTGTAAACTTGCAACACCCTCCCATTTAAAATATCAAAAAACTTATCTTGTTTTGATATTGGACTATTGGAGGGACAACCCA